TTTTGCAACTTGGTCATATTGGTATGAAGACTTAGAGGAACGCACCTAGTCCGGAGTCCATTGTATGCATTATAATTTCCAATGTCGGACCGTGAACGTGGCAGCATCCTATCATGCCTTCACTGTTACGATTTTTATCGTGCTTATTTAGATATAGTGTGGTGTGTTCCTTTGAGCGACATGACACCTTTACACTCCAACCGTCATTCTCACACTCCCCTTCATCCTTGCGCGGGGAATGTTGACCAAAGTCTGCTTTATTATGATGCAGTCCTGCTTCCTAGCCTTATCCCAGTCTCTCGCTCCGTAAAATCCGTCTGCTCTGCCCCTTGTTCACCTATCTACTCGACTCCTGCCACTACTGTCCTACTCGAGGCATTATTCGCCCTCTTCACCGTCTGGGTGACTAATTCGAGGCGCAAGCCTCTGAGTGTCATGGTCATCTTTTTGCTACATGTACCACGTCTCTGGTACAACATTGTTGAGCTTACTTCCATTTCGAGTGGAAGTGTTGAGTGAAGAGATTCGATGGTCCGTTCCACCAGAAGACAACGGCGGATTCCTCTTGACCAGCTGTCGATTGGCTTTACTGGAAGATTCATGCTGACGCTGTTACCGAGGCAATCTCCTTCGATTCCGGTGGAAAGGTGCTAAGCTTTCGTCTGTCATGTGACGGACATCATCAGAGCGAGGTAACATCTTAACAACAAAATTCAAGCTAACAAGTCAAAAAAATTCACCTGCAAATCCCTAAAAAGTGGTATATATACTCTACATCTGGCTTCTCTGATCAAGTATAAAGTGATTTGGTTAGTTAAGGTCATATGTTAACTTCCATTCATGTAAGTGTGTCTGTCTCGGTATTTTTATGTGCATGTTTGTTTTTAGGGAATTGCCGGTGGGTTTTCTTGACTCATTAGCCTGAATTTTGTTCTGACGATGTTACCTCTCTCTGATGATGTCCGTCATATGACGGACGAAAGCTTAGCACCTTTTTACCGGAATCGAAGGAAATTGCCTCGGAAACAGCGTCAGCATGAATCTTCAAGTAAAGCTAATCGACAGCTGGTCAAAAGCAATGCGCCATCGTCTTCTGGTGGAACGGACCATTGAATCTATTCACCCAACACTTCCACTTGAAATGGAAGTAAGCTCAACAATTATGAAACAAGAGATTCCTCGAAACCCAACTTTTATTCGTATCTGGTACAACAGACCTACCGTCAGCCAACAAGCTCCGGTCAACGTCGTCTCTATTCTTTTTTCTATCCCTAATACCAAGTCTATGATTTGCCATACCCAAGTCTCTTGTGTGCCAATCCACAAATATGGTGGTACAGCTTGTTTTGATTTGGTTCAATGTTGAACCATAACATTTGTGGGATTGGTATTATAGATAGAAAAAGGATAGAAGCAGTGGAAGCTAGAGCTGGTTGGCTAACAATAGTTGCGATTCAAGGATCACATCTATGATCAAACAGGTATATTGTTAGCCAAATAACTTTAGTCTCCACCGCGTCTTTCCTGTTTCTATCTATAATATCATGACTATCACTTCATATGTCCTAGTCTCTTGTGTGCCAACCCACAAATGCCGTGGTTCTACTTGTCTTGATAAGGCTTACTAAGACGTATCTTCTGTGCTTCTGATTCTTCCTTTCTCATCCCCTTGCGATCTCTTTTCCTAAAATTAAGGATATTGTTCCAGTCGTCCTCTTTTTGCTGATCTTCCTATTGCCTAGTCTTCTCATAGTTTGTTTAGTCAATATGCAAAGTTTTCGGTGATCCTGCCTTGTTCAAGTCTCTTGTTTATTAGATTTATCTCAAACAGTATATCAATGGCCTCTCGAATCTTGCATTTTCTCGTATTTTCACCATATCCAGCCAACCTATCGGTCGATTTCGGGT